GGGGGGGTGGACATAAACTAAGAAAGGGAAAGATCCCATATGGGCTGATAGTGGTGGGACAGTTGGTTGTGCCGTTCTTTGCCCTGATGGTGAATCTTGAGAGCAGATATGTTCAGAAGCCTCCGTCTTCCTTTTTTGTTTCCCTTTTTTGGAATTTTACTAAAAATAGGCATAGCCCTCCCTTGAAATGGCTCTTGCACAACTTGCTCTCATAAAGCATGAAGTAAAACTCTTACAGTCTGAAAAAACCATCAGTACTCAAGATAGCATTTCCAACCAGTCCATAATTCCTACTCTCTTTCTTGAGGGACGTGCCTAAAATTATGTGCATGTCTTCTATAGTGATGGATTTCAGCACCTGGTAAACAAGTACAATAAATACTTAACTCCGTTAAGGAGAAAGACATTTCCCTGCTTCTGTCTGCTGGTGGAATAGCCTCATTTTAGCTGAGGACAGGAGAAGGGCTAATGACATACTCTAATAATATAGTCACATAGGAAACCATTTTCCCCTCATGCAAAACCTTTCAAGATTTCATCTTCTGAGAGGAACTAAATTGTTTTTTTCAGAATTTCCTTTAAGAGAAACTGGAAAAAGAAGTGATGTCTAACGTGTCAGATATGGTAACAAGAATATTTATACAGGAGATGAAAAACCCATATTCAAGTCTCTGCTCCTTCTTCCCCATCTCACTTGAATGCTTCAGACATGTGGGATGTGGTATTATGAGGTGTTCTCTCCCACATGTAAATGATTCACAGTGTAACCTTCAGACCCTTCTGGGGATAGATATCAGGGTCTGAATCAAAGGTGATGTCTGTAAAGCTTCACTATTCACTTCTATGCTAGAAAGCACAGAGGGACAGAGACCTAGAAGTGCAGAAAATACAGAACACTTGGCCTTGTGGTCAAGGCAATGAATTACTGAATTCTATCATTGTTTCTTTCTGTCACAGACTTCACTGATGGTGCAAAAACTTATTACAGGTATTACTTAGCACAGACAAGATGAAATATGAGAAAGATGATGGCCACAGTTGTAGTAAAAAACAAGACAATATATCATTGTGTCCATGCCTGGGGCCCCTAACATAAGAAGGACACGGATCTGCTCGGGTGGGTCCAG